GGAGATGGATTGTTTAAGTTTAGACTTTGGAGTTAGAGATATTAATATTTGTTTACTTGTATTTGAATATTAGCCTAGGTTTGGTTTGGGAAGTCCGGGGGGTGGGGGGATGGGATATAACATTGTGTAATATCTGTGATGTATTTCTTTTTTTTTTTTATGATAAAAACAATAAAATTTTATATTGAAAAAAAAAAAAAAAAAAAGTGCTTGGTGGTAAGTTTGACTTTGGCTGTCAGCAGCTTAGTGACGAGCCATATTATTATGGCTGGTCTTTTCCCCATCGGTTTGAAGAGCTGTCCCGGATCAAGCGGAAGAGCTGCCACCCTTCTGCGATAAAGCGGGGGTCCTATCCTTGCTCGTCGCCCCTACAGGGCGACTTTTGACCATTTCCAGTGTCCCCCAACAGGATAAAACCGGACGCTGGAGACGAAGCTTGCCTCCATATGTCTATCAGGGCTGCGATGGCAAAGCAGAAGCTCCCCTATTTTAATATTTTTAATCATCAAAAGGTAAGATTCATTAATGAAACATTCCTACTGACCCAAAGGTGTTTTTTTCAAGAGGCAACTGGACTTTCTTGTTTTTCTTTGAAGACGTTTCGCTTCTCATTCAAGAAGCTTCTTCAGCTCTGATTAGATGGTGGAGAGTGGAAGGATTTATATTGCTTGCAGACAACTGGTCATTTGCATTCTTTTAGAGAGTTGTTGAGGCCACTTGGAGGTTTGTCTGTGTCCTCAGGGTCACCTGAGTAGTGCAAATATGTGTGGAGCCTTCTTGGCTGCAGGATGTTTTCTGCCCTGTGTTCTTTCACTGGGGATGAGTCTGTGACATCAAAATGAAGTAAAAGATGAACCAAAAATGGAAGTCACTGAAACAGTTTTGAGTTATACAAAGCTTAATTTCAGTAATACTCCCATATAGCTTGGTTTGCTTCAGTGTGGCATGCAGATCTAGTACAACGATAGCTGTGAAAAAATGTTTTAACAGTGGAAAACAGTTTCAGTAGAGTAACAACCAGCAGATGCTCAGGCACCATTGAGCAGGGAACACAACAGCAGATTTTTACCACTTACCAAACTGACAGTGCTGGCTGTGTCCACATCAGACTCTCCAGATAAGAATCTTCTAACTGCCCAGAAAGATTTTTCTGGAGCATCTAGCTGGTGAGTTTGACAAAGTATTATGGCTTCCAAGGGTGCCAGGGCAGTTTCACTGTCTTTAAGAAGGAAATGGGTCTCAGGATTATAGTTCATACGATTTGCTCGTGTGACCTCAAGATCTTTCAGTAGAGGAGGACTTGAGATATCCGGTAACCTGTTTTGAGAAATGTTGCTGCTTGACTTCTCTTTGGTAAAACTCTCTTGCCTAACAAAAGATGAAAATTCTTTTGTGGATACAGCTTGTTGTTCTGGTAGTCTCTGGTGTAATGACATAACCATTTTTCCATTTGAGTAAAGATGGGTATTGTTCATTCCTTTGGCAGCTGTCTTTCCATACTTAAAAGGAAGTTCTTCTTTGTCTATTTGAGGAGGAGGAGGTATGTTTCAAGTAAGCTTTGAAGGAACCCTAATCTCTTCTGCCTCATCACCATATAGAAAGATGCTGACAGTGGATCACTTAATGCTGTCAAGCCTGAAAGTCTTGTCATAGGACACTGAGAGCTTCTAGACTTTGCACTTTCAGCCCTTGTCCAATCCTGTTCAGGCATTTTGGTGCCATCTTGGCTTTTCCTACCTTTTTCCAAGTTGATACCATCATCAGATTTGCTGGAATCACTAAGGCTATCTGGATCCTAATCTTCCTGAATTAACAATCGACTGTCAGAATCCACATATATTTCTTCCCTGGAATCATTACTAAAGCTCATTTGGGAAACTTCAGAAAAGGTCTTCTGACTAATTAAAATAGTTGGTGTTGGACTTTCCAATTTTTCACCTGGCGGGAATTGAGGAAGAAGTCTGGTCTGTTATGCCACTGAAATCTCAAGATTCTCCCATTCTGGAACTGGAATCCTTTTCTGAGAAAGATAGGGAGACAGTCATTAAACTCAAAAGTTATATATCTTGTTGTATGCAAAGCTAGTGAGAGATGACAGTTTTGTGTCATCTTTGTCTTTCTTGTGTTCTTAGCTTTGTCCCTTTGTCCCACTCATCACTCTCTATAGAGAAAAAAAATACTACTGAAACATGCCTTTTCCCTCCATGGAGTTTCTTGCCAAGATTTTAGAACTGATTTTCCAGAATTCTAAAATCTTCGGGAAAGCTCCATAAATAAATTCAATCACATTCCATTGGAGAAGAAAAGGCACGAAAGAAGGGAACTGGCATAGAAAATTTGTTTCCATGTTTAATGTTTTGATGCATGGAGAACTAAACTCTGCTTTAAAATGTATACTTTGAAGGTATTTCTTCTCTCCCTTTTCCAGAAATCTTTTGACATGAGTAAAATATCACAGTATGAATATCACAGTATGAACAGGCTATTTCATCAAGCTCAAATTGTAAGATACAATATTTTTGAGCTTAGATTTTAAATTTCATCAAATCTATTGGATTTCTAGGCTTATTGATTATGGCATCTTTCTGAACAACCTGAACAGAACTGAGCCTTGAAGTCATTGTATTGCAACATTTCCAATCTTTCCTATGAGTTTGTGTTCAGATAGTACGAAGTGAGTGAATCCACAGATAATGGACCTGTGAAGTGCCTCAGGTTTCTATCCTGGTTTTATGTAGTCTCATTGGGAAGGGTCCTCTGGAGTGAAATGTGAATAGTGACATTCATCTCTACTATTTTATAAAATCTAACTTCAAATGGCTGGTTGACACTCTTTAATATTGCCTAAATGAGATGGTGAGATGGCAGAGGTGAATAACCTGAGATTGAATCAAGAAAGGATGGAGATTTTGTTGCCAGTAGGGAACCCATATTATATTGAAATGCAACGATTCATGAATAAGTTACATTCTTCTGAAAAACCTGATTCACAGTATGGGCTAGTTCCTTAACTATATGCTGTCAGAGGATTGTCAAATGACAAGGAAAACTTGGCATTTAATTTAGTGTGTCAGCTGTGTTTATTTCTAAATTATCTACATTCTATCTAAAATATTGCAATGTAATATATGCTAATCCATGTAATACAACAAGAATCATTGACAAAAATGCAACCTAGAAATTTACACTAATAAATAAACCTTGAGTTGAAAAGTTTACATTGATACAAAGTACACCTGCAAAGCAGTTTACTTTGATCATATCACTTCAATACTGAAAGATATGCATTGCTAGCCATCTGAATTCCAAAACAGAAGCTACTCACATTTGGACATGGGGAAAGTTCCTCAAATATCACATAGTTTGATACTGCCTCCTATATAAAGGAATTCTTACTAGCAAAAAGAACCAATTTTAGGAACATTAAAGTTTAAATTTGTAATATAAACCCAAATTTAAAACAATGGAAAATAGGTACAGAAATAAAGTGATTTTATAGAATTAAAATCCTTTGAAATGCAAGAATGACATCAGTTGCTTTACCTACATGTATTAACGTGACAGAGGGTTCAGCATCCCCAGCTCCATAGGCAGAACCTGAGCCTGTGTAGTTATCTGCAAGGCTTGCCCATCTTGAGACCCATTTTTGGCTGCCTTAGGCTCAAGATGACATCTGCAAAAGGCAAAAGATGTGACATGGTTAAAACAAGATTGTTCAAAGTTTAGTGTGGCATTTTGAAAATTCCATCATAGCTAGATATTCATAAGTAACTGCTTTGCTGAAGCACAGTTGGATTCAGATTTGATTTTTGAAGGAAAGTGAGGGATCAGTGGAAGCTTCAGTGCAGAAAAGTGGCACATTGATTTTTTCCCCTCTTCAGTCCCTCTACAGTTCCCAATGATGTCCTTTCAGATTTTTCTAGATAGTCCAAAATTGCTCCCCACTTCTTCATCCAGGACAATGAACGTAAGTCAGTCAAACTGATTACTGATAGTAATCAAAGTCTAAGAGCTACAAATAAGAGCTTGTATTACATGATAGTTACAAAATGATAAGAACTTTTTAAAGTCAGCACAAACTCTACAGTATCATTTATTAATATATTTATTTAAACATCGAAATATTTTTCAAACCTAGGCTGGAAAAGTGCAAATCAGTATATTTATACTAGCATCAAAACAATAAGTTCTATATATCAGTAAAAAAAATCAGCCATAGATGAAAACCTTAGTTTTAAAATAATATAAGAGGGAAGTAATGTAAGGGGTGGACTTAGTTCATTAAGGTTTGTTTTTTTTCAAATTCTCTTCTATCTGTAATATTAAGATTGGTTTGGTTATAAAGTAAAGGCATTTGTATTGATTTACACTACTGTGAAATTTCCGGATATGCAGATGTAAAAGAATGCAATTAAAAACATTAGTCTCTGTACATAAATTCAAAAATAAGACCCACTGAGTTAAATGGAGTTTATTTCAAAGTAAATGGATATGGAGCTGAAGTCTTAAATATTTTAAGGCTATTTGAGCATTTCAAAAAAGTAAGGACGTAAATTCTAATCCACACTTATTATATAAACAATTATTCATTTTCTGTAATAAATTGTACATTGCAGGTTATATTTCCAAATACTTTTCCCCAGAATTTATAGCTGGATGTTTTTAAATAAGCTTTTTTTTTTTTTTTTTTTTAAAAATCCTGTGCACTATAATGCAAAAATTGGGGGGGGAGTAAAGCCCCACTTTAAACGCATTCCAATCTGCATATTAGTCTAGGCCAGAGTTCCCCAACTTTTCCATGTTGGCAGCCTGGCGCAGGGGTGAGAGGGGAAAGAGGGGATGATTTTGTGGGAGGGCCAGGTGCATGTACGCCTGAGCGCCCACGATGTTTGCAGTGACATTCGCACAAGTGGGACTGCGACTGACTTTGATGACGCTCACCTGAGTGGGGCCACAAATACCCATGAGGTTTGCGGGAGTGGGACTGCAAGCACCCGCAACAAGGCCCGTGTGAATGGAGTTGAATCACCCTTGATGACACTCACGCGAGTGGGGCCACAACCGCCCGTGGCCCACAGGTTGGGGACCCCTGGTCTTGGCAGCTCACTTGTACATTTGTTTCCTTTTTGTAACTGAACTTTTCAAGCATCTCTAACTACAAATCCATTTTGTGCACCTTTTGAGGCAAAAAGTGTGGGGTATTAATTATCCATGTAATATCAACAAAACTTCCTGCTGTAAGTGACATGAGCTCGCGACCAATGTAAATCCAAATTTCTGATTATCATAAATAACATCAAAAGGAAACATTCTTCAAAAATTGCATTAACATCTCCTCCAGTTCTATTCAATTAAACATTCAATCCAAGTGGGTAGGTGAATAAGAAGTTAGATACTATTTGTACATATCCACTGTATCTGCATGTTGACCAATTGCCACTTTGGAAGCAATGACCTGCATCATCGTCACCTTCGGAGTTGGGCTATTTTCCCCAAGCAAATTGTTCCCTAATTCTTCTTTTTCGCCTTTTATAACTTTCCTGAAGGTTGAAAAAATTCTGGAAAATTCAGGAGACTCCAAAACACCAAAAACCTGGTAACCAGAAAGAGAAAGGAAGCTTATACAAATCCCCCCTTAACATCTTCATACTGATTCATCTTCAGTTCTGGTTAGCAGGTTGAGAACAACTTTGATACAGATTTTTTCATTTTGGCATGGCAAGATCTGGGAGGCCAGAAGCAAGCAAATGAGGCTCAATCAGGCAGCTATCAACTGACAGGGATGTTACTCTTGCAATTATTAGTTCAAAATGGGATGAATCAGAGAAATGTGTCACCACAGAAAAATTGGGAAAGGCAAAGTTTGCCTTCCTGATATTTTGAGCTTCCAGATCCACCACTATCAGTCTATAGGCTGAGATGCCTGAGAATATGAAAGCTGTATTGTAATTTAAAACATGGCCTATTGCAGCAGTGGCCCACGGGCCTTGTGTTTGACATGTCTGCTCTATTAGGAAGAACAATGCCTTCCTCTAGTGGTTATTTCTCATATACACGAGTGTTATTATTTTCACCCACAACTAAATTGCTTTATATGAAGCAAGTGAGAATTTTACTTTCTATTATTACAAGCCAATGTAAAATTATGTTGAACCTGAGCATTTTAAGACCTTTAAAACTGTTATTAAATGCAATTAACCCCACCCAAAGGTTTCTCACCTCTTCTTCTGATGTGAAAAGTTTGCATCAGAAATAGTACACAGTGCATCAGATATAAAGTTTATTGTCTGACCCCAGGCTACCATCTCATTTTACCACCTACATGAGTGAAGATAATAGTATTGTCACTTTAACAAGGATTGAATTATTAATATTAGTAGCTAGCATATAAACATATTTAAGAACTTTTTATATGATATTTTATGATCATAATAAATATTTCATTTGAAGGTCTTTTTATATTTGAAAACCAAGTACCGGTAGTAGATTTTATTCAGTTGAGAGAAATCTTACACGTGCTCCATGGAGTTTACTCCAAGGTACATATATAAAGGATTTGTATTTTAATAAGAAGAACCAAACAAGCTATATATCTTTAATCTTATCTCTAGCCAATTTATCAGTTGAAAGTCTAACATTACACCCCTTTTTAAACCTCCTTCAACTGATTCCACCAGTAAATCCCACAGCAGATCACGTGCTTCAGGGGAGAAGCTCACTGTAGGATATAATAATCTTTTATTCCTATTTCATTCAATTCTCTACACAGATAAAACTATGAGACAAAACTTTCTGCCATCATAGACTAACCCTGTCCTCATCCTATAACATAAATTTTTAAATATCTAGTTACATTCGAGAGACAAGGGGCACTAAGTCTTCACTTTTAAAAAAAATAAAACACTGGTTATTTTACTAAGAGACACACATAACAAAATTATTGCAAAGCGGCAATCCATAAAAATATGCACTTGTATCTATTTAATAGAATTAACAAAATATTACAAAAACACTCATTAAAATTATATCTAATTCATATACCTAATAAAATTAATGAAATGTCTTAAACTGTCAGAGTTTTACTTACATGTAAAACATAAAACACGGTGTTAAAGCAATATTTACAATAGCAGCACTCCGTTCATTTATTTTATTTAAAATAAATCCATTTGTACATTTTTCATTTTTAGTTATAATTACATTGTCTTTAGAGTGACTTGCAAAGTTCCTTAATATGCTTTTCCACCGTTTAACCCAGTGGTTCTCAACCTTCCTAATGCCGCGACCCTTTAATACAGTTCCTCATGTTGTGGTGACCCCCAACCCCCCATCCAGCTGGCCAGGGAGGGGGGCAGGAAGGCTGTTCTGCCGGCTCCGCCCAGCCTGGTTGGAGAAGCGCCTAGGCGGGGAGAGGGAGAGAGAGAGAGAGAGAGAGAGAGAGAGAGAGCCAAGAGGGCGACAGCGCCGGCAGAGCTTACTTTAGCCTCCTCCACGGAAAGGGCCGCGAAGCAGCGCAGCCTCCCTTAGGACAGGGGTAGGCAACCCAAAACACTCAAAGAGCCACTTGGACACGTTTCCCACCGAAAACAAAACACTGGGAGCCACAAAACCCTTTTGATATCTAAAATGAAGATAACACTGCATATATCCTTTTTTACCTTTAATGTATGTATGTATGTATGTATCTGTGTTTGTGTGTGTATATATAAAATAAAGGTAAACAAGAATATATGCAGTGTTATCTTCATTTTAGATGTCAAAATGATCTCTCTCTGTCTCTCTCTTTCCTTTCTCTTTCCTCTCTCCCCTCCCTCTTTCCTCTCTTTCCTCTCCCTCTTTCCTCTTTCTTCTCTTTCCTCTCCCTCCCTCTCTCCTCTTTTTCTCTTTCCTCTCTTTCTTTCTCTTTCCTCTCTCTCTTTCTCTCTCTCTCTGTTTCCTCCCTCTTTCTCTCTTTCCTCTCTCTCCTCTCTCTTTTCCTCTGTTTCTCTCTCTTTCCGCCACCCCCGGCCTGGCTGCCGCCCCCGCCGGGACTCCGCGCTGCCCAGCCTCGCCCTCCACCCATCGATGGAGCCGTGGTGGGGACAGTGCCCGCCCGAGCTGCCTGGGGGGGCAGCAGGAGGAAGGAGAGGAGGAGGGTGAGGAAGCAACCGCCCCATACAGGACTCTGCGTTGCCTGGCCTCGCCCTCTGCCCATCGATGGAGCCGCGGTGGGGGCTGGTGCCACGGCCCCTGCCAGCCCCTCTGCCAGCCCGGCTGCTCCCCCCAGGCACCCCTCTTGTCCCGGCGCACGCCCAAGCCGCCCGGGGGGCACCAGGAGGAAGAAGGAGAGGCCGAGGAAACCGCCGCCGCCGCCCCAGCCGGGACTCCACGCTGCCTGGCCTCACCCTCCACCCATCCAATGGAGCCGCGGTGGGGGCTGGTGCCGCAGAACCCCTGCCAGCCCCTCCGCCAGCCTGGCTGCTCCCCCCCAGGCACCCCTCTTGTCCCGGCGCCCGCCCAAGCCGCCTGGGGGGCAGCAGGAGGAAGAAGGGGAGGAGGAAGAGGAGGGCAAGGAGATAGAGGAGCGGTGTCTCAGTTCCTAAGACCATCAGAAATATGTGTTTTCCGATGGTCTTAGGCGACCCCTGTGAAAGGGCCGTTCGATCCCCAAAGGGGTCCCGACCCACAGGTTGAGAACCACTGGTTTAACCATTTTTAACCATTAAATAAAAATGAAAATGAAAAGAATACATAGATTTTACAGGAGCAAAGTGTCTATGCAGATTTTCAGTCATCCAGGTCATGGTTGCCCCAAAGGTGCGTTTTCAAAAGGCACCTGGACTTTGTTTTTCCTTGAAGACATTTTGCTTCTCATCCAAGAAGCTTCTTCACTTCCGAAGTTCAGTTCAGAACTGAAGAAGCTTCTTGAGTGAGAAGCAAAACATCTTGAAAGAAAAACAAGTAAGTCCAGTTTCCTCTTGAAAAAGCACCTTTGGCACAGGGGCAAAGATTGAGGGGTTTTGAGGCGGTGAAGAGGCAGTGCCAATTATCACATTTCCAATAATGACAGTATGAAGCAACTGCCACAATGTTGTAATCTGTGCCAGAAGCAGAGTACCTGTACAGAAATTGCATCCTTTGCGAGATACCACAAGGCAGATGGCTTCGTTTGCTTCCCGTTCCCCTGCGGGCAGCCACATCCAAGATACAAAAACGAGTCCAGAGTGGCACGGTGACACACACAGAGAGATACACAAACACCAAGCTCAGAACTGAAGAAGCTTCTTGGATGAAAAGCAAAACGTCTTCAAGGAAAAATAAAGTCCCGTTGCCTTTTAAAAAAGCACCTTTGGAACAATCTCCATAGCCATTTAGTTCCAATGGTCTTTCCTCCGTTAGAAAAAAAAGATTCCCTTTTTACGACCCTGTAGTCGGGGTAGAGTCGGGGCGACTGGATGGAAGGCTGCTAATTTCTGCTTCAGCGCCAAAGTAGACACAGAACATGGAATCATAGGACTGGAAGGGACCTCGGAGGTCTTCTAATCCAAACCCTGCTCGAGGCAGGAGACTTTAAATATTATCCATGGACGGCAATCTCGCGTTCATATCGTTCACCGCCCCCTCAAAGATGGGTGGAGATAATTCTAACTCCGAAAGGTCACACCCCTCTAAGTCTCACCCCGCATAAAAATCCACCGAGAAATGCACCGTTCGTGTGGAGGTGCGGATCACGACTTCTGCCATTTCAATCCTCCTGTAGATTTCCGGTTTCCAGAACTAAAACGTTTGACGGAACGCGGCCGTCCAAGATTGCTTAGTTCGGAAGGTCTGCAAAGCCGGGGGAGGGGAGGGCCAAGTTGACTCTTCCGGTTTTTTTTTGGGGGGGGGGGTTCAGTCGATTTCGGCCTTTCCTGCGGGATTGAGCTAAATCAAGACTTCTGACGGCTACCCCCAATCTCCCACCGCGTGTTTGGGACTTGTGGAGGCAACCGCGGCGCAAAGCTGCTTTCCTCGTGGCGCCGCGAGCAAGATCGGCGGTTTGAAACGGAAAAAGAGGCCGGGAGTCACTCCGGGAGTCACTCCCTCTGCCCGGCTTCTGGGTTGCATAAACTCCAGGAAAAGGGAGGAGGATCTGGTGGGCTGGACCGCCCCGCCTCCTTTGTCTGACGGGTCCGGCCATGGCGCGGATTCTGATCGTAGGCGCTGGGCTGACCGGTAGCCTGTGCGCTGCGCTTTTGCGCGCGGAATTTCCCCAGCGCCTCCTGCGCGTCGTGGTCTGGGATAAGGCGCAGGGCGCAGGTGAGTTGGACGCCTTGAAGCCGCAGATCTTAAGTATTGAAAGGGCACGCGGCCCATTGCGGGGATCCGGGAAGGTTAGCGGCAACCCCGCGCCTGGGGATATAAAGAGCCACGCTCCCCGTTTTGCCAACAATTCATCTGGCACCGAGTGAATTTTACGGCGATCGATAGGACTCCTTTTCAGGATTGCTCGCAAAGGAAACGTGATCCTACACCTGGCTAAGAAATCCTTTCGAGACACTCAATTTCAGAGCCAATCTTTCTTTTTAATGAAACTCATTTTTGAGTCGGGCTGCAAGCTTCTTCGGTCGGATTCAGATAGAGGCTAGCGGATTTTAATAGCAAGAACATAAACGCTCAGGTGCTACAGCCGTAACTCGGTGCGCTTTAAACCCGAAGTAAGCTTCCCTGCAAATGCAAATCTCGATGAGATTCATAGTTTAGATTTGCAGCCGCTGTCATTACCCCAAAGCTTACTCAGCGGCCGTGCAACCCGTGCTCCGCAGGGATTGGTGGTCTGCGGGGGAGGGGGTGTTTCCCTGTTACTAGGCTCAGGTTTGCCCCTCCGGAGAAGCTGATTGGACACTCGCGGGCGGCGCGCGCGCTAAACGGCTTTCTGTCTCCACGCACGTGACTTTCCAGGGGGAAGAATGTCGACGCGCCGGAGCTCTCACGACGAGAAATGCACGGCTGATCTGGGTGCCCAATATATCACGCGAACGCCCGACAATGCAAAGGCGCATCAGAGGTGAGCGAAAGGGGAAAAGGCACAGGATTAAACGGGAACTCTTTGGCTTGGAAGACGTGTCGATAAGGAAGGGGAGGTCGATGCTGTTGTAGCAACAAGTGGCAGTTCGTACTTGGGATCATAATGGGTTGGAATGATGTGCAAATTGGTATTGAGCAAAACGGAGGCAGCCCTGACTTTGACAAAGATGAGCAGGGATGCGCTATAGATGGGAGTCTGCTAGGAAATCCCAGGAATGTAGCCCAGGCTGAAAAATGGAGGAAATCAGCAGAAGAAAGCAATGGGGATGGCAGATTACTTCCATAGTTCTTGTTGCCAAGAAAAATATATGGACTTGTCCTCGGAGGCAGCAGGACTTGGGTTTAACTTAAGACCCGATGATACATAATCAGCCTTTTAGTTGCCATTCAAATACATTTTTTATCAAATGTTCACAGTAAGAATAACTGTGTGCATGGACTTGGTTTCAGTCATGGTTATATGAATGAGGACATGGTGAAGATGTCGCAAATTCATTCTGATGTACAAATGCACCTATAAAATGCTTTCAGGTAGAAGTTGTTGGTTTCATTTGGATAGAGGCTGTCAAACCTAATATTTAATAGAAGGAGGAAGGTGTGTTGGATATGTTTGCAGCCTTGAGTTATTTGTATAAATAATAAAGATGGGATAAAAACTAATAAAATTTTGCTACCAATAAAGAGCTGTGTTAGGTTTGCAACATCACCTATTAAGTAGTCCTTATTTAGCAATTGCCTGGACATCAACAGTTCTTATTCATGACAGTGATGGAAAAGTAACTTTATGACCAAAGTCCACATTTATGACCTTTGCAGTCTGTCTCTCTTTCTTTCTGTCTCTCCCTCCACCCATCATGTGTTCACCATTACATTACAGTCAGTTATGCATTGTTCATTTCTCTACCCCCCCCAAACCAGGAAACTGCTTGAATAAGTGATCTCTTCCTGAGCTACTTTTTTTCCCACACCCCACAAAGGATCCCCTTAAAAATGTTTAAAAGAGGTAACTAATTGATTAGAATCTGACTGCAGCTGCTGCCTGAAACTTTTTTCACTTAGCAACTGTTTTGCTTAACAACTGAGTTGTTGGTCCCAATTGTGGTTGCTAGTTTCAACTTGAGTTGTACTTCCATGTAAAGGCTCAGTAATGTTGGAACAGACTCTTTGAAATTAATAGGATTTTAGGTATTGAGTCTTAGTTATGTATAGGTCTGACCTCATCCCATTACCTGGTGTCAGTGGTTCTCTTCAGACTATGAAAACAGCTTATCTGCTGATTTCTGATCAACCTGTAGCTCTGTAACAAGCACAATAGTAGATCATCATATTTTTTTCTGATGAGTAAACCTAAACACATTTAACATCCATAAATATGGTGGGTCCAGACATTGCACATTTAGCTTGCATTTAGTCATTATGTGAATCCATCCAGAAATAGTTTATTAAAAAACCATAATTAAAGCACACAATATGTGTACCATATCCTTAATACATTGGCAAGATGGAACATAGGAATCTTTGTGCAAGTCCTCACTGTCCTCACATTTTTCAGTGTAAATTTGAATAGTCACTAAATGAATGGTTGCAAGTTGAGGATTACCTATAATGCCTATTTTACATTTCCCATAAAATAGTATTTACTTCAGGCATTATGGAAAAGTTAAAGCGGTGGCTTATAAACTTTAACCAGTTGTCCACAGCCAAGGCAAGTGTTGGTGAAACTGCTCTCTGTGGAAGACTTTGGAGTCCTTACAGCTTCTCTAGCTTATTGAATATTGGTTACCTCTAGGCTGAATTGCTAGACCATAGTTTGCCAAATAAGCCACAGTTGGCTGGATTCACACATTGCTCTAAACATAATCCATTAATTTAAAACGAGACCAGTTAAAATTATTCTAGACCTTCCAGAAATTATTTTCTTTAGTATTCTAAATCAGGGCATCCAAACATGGCAACTTCAAGACTTGTGGACTTCAATTCCCAGAATTCCTCAGCCAGTCATGCTGGTTGGGGAATCCTGAGAGTTGAAGTCTGCAAGTCTTAAAAGTTGCACACACGCTGTTTACAAGCTTGTAGGTGCTCTGGTCCTCAGGGCTCCACTCGGTCTCCAGGGAGCTTAGATCCTCAGGCCCGGGATCACCGGCTGATGTTATGCAACGCCAGGTCAGTGGTGAACAAAGCCCCCCTCATTCGAGATCTTATTCAAGAGGGGGGCGTGGACCTGGCAGGTATCACCGAGACCTGGCTGG